CAACAAAAAAGAATGCCTGAAACCTCAGTCACGTGAATTGGTCAATTTATGTCAACTCTCATTGAAAAACCGAGAAAAGGATATTATTCTTTACAAAAAAGAGCACACGACAGATTTCATTAAAAAAAATACATGCGCTTTTCTAAGGTGCTGGAAAAATTACCCGGATCTTGATTCTTACATCATCGTCATTTGTTTTCTTTCATTTTATAAACGAATTCAATTCATTACAAGCTCTCTACGAAGATTTTGATAATTTTGTAATGAAGAATCACATTTTTAAACCAGACCTGCATCCATGACTCGATTTTTCAAATTTTGTACACAGAAAAACGATATCGACAGTATTTAATTCCGGTTGTCAGTATGATTTTCTGAAATTGTCAATTTCCCCCTACACCTTTCGAATTAATCAGCAAATTTCGTAGCTGCCTCATGGTGTTCTGAATCATTTAAGCTTCTTTAAAAGCACCCGACCTTAGCCAACTCAAGAGTGTACTTTAGTAATTTACTAAAAATATTCCTAAAAATTGAAATTTTCGTATGGATGATAATTAATCATGCACAATTTTAAAAATGGACACTATGGGGTACTAGGTCTGGTGATTTTATCAGCTGGAGCCCTTCTTATTGATAATTAGTGTGACGAATCCTGTTCTTACTCGTGTCTTACATAAAAAGCAATTCAAGATTAGAATTTTCGCATCCTTTTCTTTTCGTGATTTAAAAACACAACGATGTCTAGGCTTGAAAGGATGAACCGGAAGCGTATAAAACCCGAAGCCAGGGTGTTGATGTGGAATTATGGATATGTCCAGCACTATGCATATACAACTAAACATCTTTCATATCCTAAAAATTCCACGGATTCATAATAATGCGGAAGCCGAGGTTTTCCCGTAAATGGGGTTTCCTTGTTCACGTTGCACCTATCGTCAAATATCTGTACCATCAAGAGATCCCTTTTTGCGTATTTTATTCAGAAGTTCCTTTGAGAAGCGCGGAAGTATCTCTCGAAATTTCTTCAGCACCCTGAGCATAACGTATTATCATGAAGAAAATAATGCGACGTGTAGAGAATAAGAGAATCTTCGTTTCCCTTTTTCCTCACTGTAATTCTTCCAGCGGAAATGATTTAAAGATGTTCAAACCAGACACAAAAATTAAATCACCGCAACATGTGATTTTTCTAAATTTAAAAAAATGCATGCGAATGTTGGAGGTTTCGGTAACAAGGAAACATTGAATTTTGAAGAACTGTTCGGCGCCAAGAAATCCGTGATTTTCAGCGGAATTTTTGTGAAAGATCCCCCCTTTTTTTTTAGAAATGAAAGGAAACCGTAGGAACTCAACGGATACCAACTCAAACCTGCTTCGCCATCTCATTCGTGATGCACAAAAGGGTGCAGATCATAAATGTGTCAAAGACCTTAGTCATATTGTCGCGAGTTCTTACCTATCTTTCTTTTTGACGTGTGTTGATCATTTTAGGGAATATGTCGCGTTTTCATGTGAATTTGGGCAAGAAAATTGTTGAGTGATGACGACATAAAGCATTGCTTGTGTCTTTGAAATTCGGCATTATTTTTTTTCTTCACGATCTGAAATTCCTGGAACAGCTCATAACATTCTACCACCTGTGGATTTTTACTCTTGAATTATTACACTTTGAAAGAAATTGAAGAATTGCTCTTCAGATTTTAAAAATGTGAGCCTCGTGCGCAAATTTATTTATAAAAAATAATTTTATTTATGAAAAAATGCATTGAAACAGGACTATCCACAAATTGAAAATACAATAAGAAATCCACGATTGTTTGGATTGTTTTAAAAAACAGATGAGATGGAACGTACAGTATACGTCATTGAATTTGCATGAGGGACCATTTAAAAATATGTGAAGCAAGCAAATCAGATTTGAAGAAATTGGAATTGGCGGGTAATCCCGATTAAAGTCATCAATTAAAAGGATCATATTACTAAATATGGCATGCAAAGTACTGTACTTCTTTAACTTGGGAGTTAGGCCACAAATGACTGTTATACCCGTTTCAAGACCATATTTCTTGAATAAGACTCTTCCAGACCGCTTTAATGAACTTCACTTAGCTACCGCCCTTAGATTACTTATTACATCTCTGTTCAAGTCACGCCTCATTTAAATAAGCCTGTGAAAGCTCGAGTCCCAGAGGAGAAGCAGAAATTACTACATGACCCCCAACATACGCGGCTCATTAAGATCAGGATTATTGTGCGTACATCATCTGGGAAGTCAAATTCTAAATTAATTTACTTTGAAAATACATTGCTCCTCGCTGTCATGAACCTACTTGAGTTGGGCGTGCGAACCCCGTGAGCTCTCGAGGATTGCCGTATGAGTTTTCCTCACTACTCGAATCCCACGATTCCGCCGCGATTGTAAATTAGATTTTCCCGGTGAAATTTCCCGTCTCTTGATACGATGAGAGGCAAAATTACTGAGGATAAATAAATTGTAAAAATAAGTGTTAGGTGCAATATATGAGCCGTCGGTGGAGAATGCGAAAGGAAGAACGCACCACGTCAGTACGAGGGTTGGTTCATATGTTTCAAGACTTTTAGAAATGGATTCGAGGGAGTTGCAGCAATTAAAACAAAATTGTGTACTCACAAAGTACTCTCATCATTTGGCAGCACTTCAGGGCTGTTCAACGTACTCTCCGCCGATTTCAATGCATTTTTTCATGCAATAAATTCAAAAATGAAAAAAGTGCTAAAAATCGAGTTCCGTTAGTTGATTCAGCTGCTCTCGACGGCAGAAATGAGGCTACCCCTGTCCTCAAAATCTATCCCTTTTTTACGTCGTTTTCCAACGTCATAAGAACAGCCAAAAGTCACAGGGTGCCTAATCAACAAACAGAACTCAATATTTGGCACTGTTTTGATCGTTGGATTCATTGCATGAAAAAAATGCATTGAAATCGGCGGAGAGAATTTCAAACAGCGCTGAAGTGTTACCAAATGATGGGGCTATTCACGAGTTTTAAAAAAGTTGTATCGTTGAAACTCGTTTGGATTCATTTCAAAAAGCCTCTTTAAACTAATGAATCAACCCTCGTGCAGAGCAGTACTAAAAGTTTCTCTGATTATCGGAAGTGCCCCTCGTCCTTGTGAAGGTATGACGTCAAGTCGCGGGAAGGTAAATCTCTTTCGATCGCGCCTATGAAGAGTGCTAAATCGGCACATCTTGGTCGGGAATCTTGCGGCTGGCAGTTGCAGTATTACGCTGACAATTTTCGAATTAGAAGGGATCAAGGAAACCCTGCTGAAAACAGTAGAACCAGAACACTTTCCTCCTTGCTGGCCGCCTCACGGTAATTTTGCAACGTCGTCGTGGTCCTCCAAGAGCAAAGCGAAAACCTTCTTTGGTCGATAGCTTAGCAGAAACTACACGGTCTAACCAGAAAAACGATGAACTAATATTTCAAGCCGCGATACTGCATGTCGCATCAACGCTTTGTCACAGATTTCATTTAAAATTAACGCTCATTGAATTGTATTTCAAATGTTATAAATAACGTACATCTACATGCTTCCTCTCGATCAGCTAAAGCTTTTTTTATGCATATTTGAAGAAAATTTGCAAATTACCTTCTCAAGATTCTGACAATGTTTCGCCGAAAGGTTTCTTACGCATGCGTGGCTTTAAATGACTTGAAAACACTCAGGGTTAAAAAAAATCTAATATTTTTCAGCTAGAATAATGTTAAGGGTTATTTTTTCAGGAGTGTTTTCTTTTATAATTTTCTGCAGCTTTCATCATATGTCAGAAAATATTTGAAACATATTTATTTGGATTTAAATCCAGTAGAACTTCAATAAATTGAACCTCCCTAAGTCAAATACCTCCTTAATTCGAATTTTTTTCGAGTCCCCATCTGAATTCCCTTAGAAGCAATGCATTGAAAATTATTTCAAACTTCTCTGACTTGAAGGCTTCCCCTCTAAACTAAACTTAACTAGAATTTTCTGAAACCTTTTGGCTATTATTTTATGTCACAGGAAAAAGAAAAGCAATAAAAAAGTATCGATGTGCTGTTTTGAAAGGAAGTGAAAGACTAATTGGGCAAATGAACCCCTAAACCTCCAAGTTCTGCATCCTGCCAACTCATTAAAGAATCAATTTAAAGCTCAGAATAATACCAGTCACAATTTCCTGAAATTCTTCCATGTTCCCAAAGAAAAAATGCTTTTCTCCCTAACTCAAAACCTTCTTGAGTTTAAAAATCCCTATAATTCGAATTTTTGATGATTTCTTGAAATTCTATTTCGCGAGATATTTGACTGCATTCAACAAGTGTTTCTTGATTATTTGTTTGAATGTGTATTCGGATTATGAACCAAATATAGTTTCCTTGGTGCATGAATTGAAATCGAACCCACTGATGTAAGAATTCGCAGAACGCCTCATCACTTGCTTATTCGAAAATTAGGCATCTGAAGAAAAATAGGAAATAATCCTGAACGCGTCTTAAACTCAAGTTAATTAAATACTCTCTATAGAAAGAATGCTTTAAAAGAACAGTTGATATGCATGACGAAATTGCGCACCAATTAGCCTGTGCATGCACACAAGTTTAATTAAAACGTGGAAAATTCGAAAGGAAAGATTTAAATCCCTATTCATCGGATACTGTATATACAGTATATTCCACAGCTCAAAGATTGGTTCATCCTTTCTTGGTCCACCCTGCATTTTGTAAGATGGTTGTTAATTTCCCGAGGAAAGCAACAACGACGGGCACTGGAACGCAGGAAAAGGAAATCGTTCTTCATTCCGGGAAGACAAACAGGAAACACGGAAAACGTTTTCCTGCCCAGTCAATGGGCACACTAGGGTTCCCTACTGGGACAAAGCAACAACGACGGGCACTGGAACGCAGGAAAAGGAAATCGTTCTTCATTCCGGGAAGACAAACAGGAAACACGGAAAACGTTTTCCTGCCCAGTCAATGGGCACACTAGGGTTCCCTACTGGGACTCGTGTTGTCGGGTTTTTCGGCGGGTCTCCCAGGAACGGTGTTCGTGCCGACGGATCGCTTCGGTGTCGGTGTCGATGTCGGCGCCGCGCTCGACGCGTCGGAATCGAAGCCCGATTCGGCAGTGGAACGTCGTGACAACGACGAGTCAGCACTTATCCGTCGGCGAGGCACGCGACGCTTCTTCGACGCCCTAGATGGTTGCCAATCGATCGACGGCTTCAGCAGCGACCCGAAATTGCATTTGGCACCCGCTGCATCCTGTATAATCACCGCAGAATTTTTTTTTAAGCAGGAGGCGAAAATAAATTTGCATTTCCCTGAACGCTTGTCTGAGGCCAAAACTGCACTTAAATATCCTGCTCTTTCAAAACAAAAAAGAAGAGCCAAACAAAATAAGCATTTTTAAAGAAAACGAGCACGACGAGTTTGAAATAAAACACCCTGCATCCTGTGTAATCATTGCAGATTTTTTTCGGCTGGAGGCGAAACTAAATTTACATAATCCTATAAACGCTTGCCTGAAGCCAAAACTGTTTCGAAATAAACTGCTCATTAAAAAATGAGAGCCAAATGAAAGAGCCATTTTTAAAGAAAACGAACGTGACGAGTTGGAAATAAAATTCGCCCACATGATGACACAAAATTTCCCATCATAATGAGTAAATTGTAGTAAATGCAAATAAACGATTGATCATCAAACCAAGTCACAAGCAATACACCAGTGCAACTTCTAGGTGAAAACCAAAGTGCACATATAATTTGTAGATTCCTCAGCCAATCCGATGATCCTTGTCATAAATTATCGGGCACAGAAAGTCGATTCACAATACGAAAATGAAGTATTAAAGGTATGAAAAATAATCATTCTGTGCATACTGTATTTCAGTACAAGTGCAATCCAGCGACTTTCGAATGATTGAGACATTTAAAAATTATTTTATTTTCCTTTCCAGAATTTTTTGGACACAATACCCATCAGAACCCTATGCTGATTCACGAGCTGGAAATGAGTGAATCCCCGGAATTTTAAATTTAGCTGAATGAACGCAAAGTTGGCGCGTTCCCAGTTGTTTTCTCGTACATCGAGAAACTCGTGAAATGAGAGAAATTCTGCAAACCAGGCATCAAGAGTTCCTGTGGTCAGCAGAAAAAAAATCGTGCTGTCTTCACGCAGGGACAAATTGAATTAAACCTAACTTTTCTACGTGGGTTCTCTTGAAAGTAAAAAATGATGATAAAAACTACGAAGCTCTCTCTCTCTAAATCATTTGGTTCCTCTCATCCATGAAGAGTCAAATGGTGAGCAGGACATTTTCATCATCCTGATGAATTCGTGGTTTCGTGAGATCGTCTGAGGGGCAGTGGATCATGGCATGAATAATGTGACCAAAGAATCATGCCAAATACTGTATAGTAGACATATTCGGAAATCCAAGGACAGGCTCAACGTAGCGAGTAATTTTCCCCCTTTACCCATCTTCGGGTATGGGTCACTATATGGATGAGGACAGGCACGGAAATTGCTCGGACAAGAAAAGGATCTCCTTTGATTCTCTCCTCATTTTCCTCTCCACATCCCACACAACCCAGTTTCCCTTCCACTCAGGCATTCATACCGGAACTGATCACAAAATTAATCTCGCGTACAACGCATTTTCTGATTTTTTTTTTTTTACAGCCTTGCATTTTCATCCCGCAGTCATCACTCATCAGACATACACTTGATCAGTTTCCCTTGAAGTTAATTGCGTAAAAAAACTTTTTTAGAATCGTCAGAATAAGATATGATGAAATTGATGCATTTTTTCAGCTCATACTCATATCTTCATATTTTCAGGAATTTCTCGCACGATTTTGCCTATGAGAACAAAGCGATGACGAGTTATCAGAATTTTTCGTGAAATCTGGGTACATAAGTGAAAATACAGAACATAACAGCGTTAACCAGATTTTAGAATGGTGTGGCAGTTTTTTGGTACGTTTGGCTAGAAAATTCTATAAACTACAGTACAGTATTGTACTGTACAAACAAATTTTAGTCAAATTAATGATTTATTTACTCTGCGCGGAATCTCAAAATTGTTTGGCTTCAATCACTCCCATTCGACTTATCATTCGAGCTGGGGATACGTCCAATAAAAAATAAAGCATAATTTGAAATCATGCGATAAGGCTCATAAACCCACCTCTGCATTACTATGCTTCAACCCATCATCACTGCTTTCCTCCCGATATTCTTTCCAAACTGTGTAGACCGCGAAACCCATGAAAATCGGAATAGGACTCAGCATGAGGGATATAATAACCCAGTAAATAACCCGCAACCAATTTGGGCAGTTGAAAAGCCTGCAAGCCAGAGGCCGGTCGACGATCATTGACAGTAGAAGGGTTGTCTACAACGAAAAACAAAAATTATATTTTAAAGATCATATATTTTTGTTTGATCTCCTCTTGACTAAAGACTACAGTAGTTGACTTTTTAGACCGGAAGAGAAAAGCACTCACCAGAGTGACAGGAAACGCGACAAATGCTAATGTGGCCACTGCGAGGCTCGGTACCCAGCTTGGGTCACTTTTCATGCTCAGAAAGTAGTTCCGTAAAGTTATGGGCCCTGTGGAAATTAGTCAAGATGCAATTCTCTCTAAATTTTGGTTAATCAGCACGAGAAGAGCCACAGTTCTCCAATCAACAAAAAATTCAAAAATGTCAAACTTTTTTCGCCATCACTGTCAAGTCAAACCACGAAACCTGTCTGAGAATATCTAGTTTCTCCGCCATTTTAACCATTCCTGGAACCTCAAATCAATAAAAATGAAAATTTTCTATGTTAACTTTATTAGCCTGCAAAATTTCAGGACTCTTCTACACGCACAGCTAAAAAAAAAAGAATCTAATTCATGAAAACATGGGAGGAATGATCAAACTTCCGGTGTCAAAATGCTGATCGTGTTTCGTTTTTTTTTAATTTCAAATTGAAGCTACATCCTCGAATGAACCCTCAGAACTTGCAGAGTTCGAAGCAATTTTCAAATGCATACTTAAATTAATAAATCCATCCCTGGGATTCTGCGCTCAGGAACATAAACGTTTTTCATTCCCGGGGATTTTTTAGATATGCCTATATAGAAGCTTGCAATTTTAGTGAATCTGAATAGCGATTGAAAAAGAATAAGCATAACCATGGAGTCCGTTGAATGATCGTACAAATAATCTCGCTTGACAATTGGCGATTTTCTTTTCTGAAAAAGAATCACTTTGGAAAATACTGCGTATGCTCTAAGAGATCGAAAATCTTGGAAATCCTTCTTTGGAATTCGACATTCCGCTTTCTACATTCATGAACGCAGAAAACAACTGATGAACGCGCTGTATAGTGAGAAAAATGTTCACAATTTCTGCCTAAAAACTTTATATTATTTTTGCTTATTCAAAATAAAAAAAATTTGAATTGAATAATTGAGTATTCTCCAGTATTCTCAGTATTCTCCAGTATTCTCCAGATTTCTAGAACGTCGGTGATCGATTATTCTAACAATGATTTGTTCCAAAGTACTGTAGTGAAATAACAGCATGGGAGGCGGGTATGATACATTTATTCCAAAGATTTCAAAGCAATATGAATGAGTGCGTTATAAACTCGAAGCGACAAACCGTGCAACAACAGGAACACCGTGCAGTACAACGCAGCATTGATCATCAGCGGAACCCCAATCGGGTAATCAGACATCACCAGGAACCAATTAATGCCGCCACGAGTCGTCATCGGAATCGAGGCGACGAACGACGCAGCAGCGAACCCAAATGCCACAGTCTTTTTGTAGTGCTTCAACGGACTCCATAATTCGAACAGAGCCACATGCGCTGCATCCACCAGCATCACCTGCCATAATTTTCCTTAGGTCAAAACGAACAACGCAATTAGGAATCCCTAGAGTGAACCCAGTCTACTTCAGACCCCCCTAACCCCATTCCTGGAGTGCATCTAACTTCATAGGTAGTTGAAACTGAGCGCCATTCAACTGTCCGCTGGACATTTCTCCGCTGGACGCTGGACAAATGAGCGTTTGCCGCATGAGGACAATTATATGGACAATTAACCATCGCACAACTGATCCACCATAGCATCTTAACACAATAAATGAAAATTGAGCTAATCAAGAATCTCAAGATTCCATTCCTTTTTAACACGTTTTTATTAACTTGCTTTCTTGTCCATTTTTTTGTCTGGATCAAATTTTGCAACTCAAATTTCGCTCACTTCCCGACTAGCTAGCAAGCTGAAAAAAGGTTATTTTTTGCTTTTTGAAAATGTGGTTTTTTAGATTAATTTTTCAATCTACTAAATTTTATTATCTCTTCTCTTCCACAACTCAACTCTGGCCATGACAAAGCCTTTGAAAACAAGTTCAAAATTACAAAATTCAAATAAACATCGTGGCTACTATGATGAACTGTGATACTGATTTTTTTCTCGAAGAAATATATCTTTTTTTTAAAGAGATTCAATGTTACAAAATGCTACTCAGTATAATGCCTCACACGGTGAACCTAATTTTTCAAGGTAGAGAATTGTGAAGTACTGTAGTTGAGTGATTGCATGCCACTTCACATAAACCGCGTTTTTCCTTACAGAAGCATGAAAAACAAATCGATGTTTTCCTTTACGGTGATTTCGCTTCAGCTCATAAATAAAGGAAGAGAAGATTCAAGTTCTTTGGATGAAACTAAAACAGGAGACAAAGCCACGAAACAGCACAGCCTTACAAATTTGTTTACCAAATAAATAAAAATAATATTCTTATTCTTACACTTCAACTGCTGCAACACATAGCACCCTTTAAGGTACTGTATTTCGTTTTTGAAGGGAATGCAGTTTTGACAATTCTCATGATCAATTTTCCGCAAAATTGACTTGGGATGGAATCTTCACAATGATAATCCCTGTTTTCGAAGACTGGATGCATAGAAAAGCCCAAGATGATGATAAAAAAAATTAAAGTTGCTTTGGGACATTTGCAACATTACTTTGTTTTATTTATTTGATATTTTGTTCCCTTATTCGATAATAAATATCTGGTATTCTTCATTGTGAAAAACATTATTTTCTTTGTTCAAACGTGTTTTTTCCGTTATATTGACGTTTGTTCCATGCATGTTTTTTTATTCCATCATATTAGGGGCCAGTGTATTCTTACGATTTACCTAATTTTTCATGAAGTGAAAGGATTTTTGTTTTCAGAAGAGAAAACAATCAGACATTTAGTTTACAAAATAATCTAGAAAATCCAAGTGTTTCACGCTTAGTCATTTACTCATTTTATAGTCCGTTTTTCACGAAATTCAAGTGACCTTCGCTCAGCTCTTCCGACGGTCAGTTTCCTGTAGCGTTCACTTGACCCAGCATCGTTTCACATGACCCGGCTGCACGCGACACGACGGAAATGAAGCGACACAAATTCCACCGGTAACGAGTTGAGTTAACTTTACGACCATTGTCTCTCCTGAAAATTACACCCAAATACCCGAACCCCTCGGGAAAACTCCGCGATGGTCAACTGAATTATTTGAAATAATCGTTGTGTTATTTGTCATGAGCGCATTTTCTTGACGAGAAAGAAAATGTTGTATTCTTTTTTTTAGAAGGAAGTTTGAACCGAATTGTAAATTTCTCGTATAGCCTGAGATTTTTCGGAAATGCAGAATGAAATTTATCGCGCACGAGCTAAGTTGCTTTCGCTGATGAAGTGGAGAATACGAATGAGGAAATGTAATTAATGAACAGCGGAATGAATCCCCTCTCCTGCATGAAAAGCAGGGCAGTAAATTCCTTTTTTCTTTTCTTCTCGTTTCATTTCCTGGGATCGGATGTACATTCATCTCAAGAGATATGAGAACTGCGGCTGGATTGGATGGCAAACCAAGCAGTTCTTCTCCAAGAGAATTACAGCTCCCAATAAATTGTCAGCTCCCACGTGTTTCTGGTTAATGCAATAAGACCGGATGCGTTCAGAATTTTGAGTAACTTGTTTCGAATATCTGCTACAGCATCTTTACGGCTTTGCATGATCGGTTTGTCATGTGTGGGGCAAATACGTTTTATCGGAAGATAAGTTCAGAAATGTACGCCACTTATTTTAAAAAATTGACATGGAAAGCTTGTCGAATCGCTCATCGAAATGCACATCAGTCTAATTTCATATAAGCATAAATTAATTTCAATAACTTCATTCTTCATTAGCTACAATAGAGAAGAACTTTCGGTTTATCGAAAAATCGCTGACATTTAATCAACAAAAATATGTATGGCCTTTATAAAAAATAATATTATAAACGAAAAACCTATGTAACTTTCCTCGCATGTAAATTTAATACGTTACATCCGAACTAAGAAAGCTGTGGACCCCAAAATGAAACGTCTGCTACAAAATCGAAAGCCCTTCATGCAAAATTTTGAAATGAAGCGTTAATACAGTAGTTGATTTTAAAAGGAAAAAGTGAATCAAGTTGCAATTAGCAGAATCTCTCAACAACGAATCTTGCTACATAAAATTATGGCTTCAAGGTCCCTGCCTAATTACCATAATGTCAATTCGACATTTCTTATAACAATGCATTTTCTTCTGTTGTAAAGTAATATTGGCTTTGTTGTAGATTTAACTGCATTATTGATTAAGGTAATGGACGACATGAACCTTCGTTCCAAATTACAAGAAGTTAATAACTGTGTAATAACACTAAGCCATATGTTGAATCCAAATACCAAATCCTGATCGAAGATAATTTTCTCCTCATTCTTATATCTTTTGCTACAGTAGAGTTTTCTTGAACTTCTTCCTCTCAGGTTTCTTGAGCTTGCTCTAATTTCTCAATTATGAACTAAAAATGCTTAAATGCCGATTGCATTTGCAATTTGTCGAGTTTCCCCATGATAAGTCGCAAATAATCTACTGCGTAACTCAACTTGGCATCTACATCTCCTAGCTGGCAGCAGCGAAACTGGGACATATATAGACATAGAAGGCCAGAGCACTTTTCTCATTCAGAGAGACGGACACTTCCCAACTGTCAAAAAGCTTTCTACTGCGTGATTTCAAAGTAAAGTACAAAGAAGCTGCAGGGTTTGGCAACAAGTCACTGCAGCAATATATAACCCAATGCATGCCGTGTCATATTTCCTCGGCGAAAGGAATTCATTTTTTTCTGAACCAGCTCAGATTACTTACACAGATTCAAGTCGGGGGTCTGAAAATGCTAGATTATTGCATGCATAATCCTGGAGGCAGTACGGAATATATTCAGCATGATTTCCCACAGTTAGGTGAATAATTTACAAAAATCGCCTGAAAGTTAAAAAATCTTTTGTTATGAAATTTTCAGGGAGCATCGTTTGAGACTCCTGATCCGTGCTGCTGAGAACGGTCAAGTGTATAAGAATGTTTTTGGCCATTAAACGAGGTTACGATGCTAGACGATATGGGATTTAAAAAGCATTTGAGCAAAATACGAGGTGTCTTATGATTCACATTTGCATGCTCGCATTCCTATGAGTCGAATGAATCAACGACTCATTAAAATAGGACGCGCCTTTTCGAAAAAAAAAATGACTCCCTTTCTAAGAAAGCCCTTGGCGTGTTTCCTCGAAGGAAATATTTTAAAATGCCGTGCTTCTCTTTCCAAATTGTTCGAAAAATACAGGATTCAAGACGATTGAAGGATCTTTAAAACATAACAATTAAATATTCAGTAGTTTCTTGAAATCCCGAAAACGTACGTGCGGATCTTGGATTTACCTGGCGTAGAGCATACAACATGAATTGGATGTTATATTTTACTTTTTTTCGACCTACCCTCTTTCGCGGCCATAGCTGCTAAATTATGCTTGAGCGTTGTCAAATTCCATTACATATTAGCTTCTGTGCCTAAATGCTGGATCTTTAAAAACAATTGTTTTAAAATTTTGAACCTAAAAAGGCTGTTTTGTCAAATTTGGGGGAAACTGATCTAAAAGATTGGAAGTATTGTGACTAAAAAAACAATAATAATAATACAACAGGATTCTGCTCTCCAAGAAAATGAGCTTTTGCTGTTCAGGTACTTCAGGGCATATTATTTTTTCAATACCTGTGATATAACCCAGAAACTGAATTGGGTTATATTCTTTTTCTCTCCTCATTTGGGAAGAAATCTTTTCAACAAGGTTTTTCTGTTTCTTGCAACTGATTCCTTGTTTTTGTTCTCCCTCTATTTGCGTTGTCCCACATTAAAGAGTGATGCTCATTTATGCTCATTCTGTTTTACAATTTGCTACTTGACAACAGTGATAAATGACCCTAACTGTTTCTCCCTTCTAAATTGCTAATTTAGAAGGAATGGTTCTTTTGAACTACCATGTGTAAATATTTATATTTATATTAAATATACACCCAGATGTATATATATTCATCAGAAGTGTTCATGAAACCTGCAGTTCCTCATTTGAGACAAATATTCTGTCTCTATATTTTGTATTCTCAGGAAGGCATAAATATACCTTCCCTCCTGCAAATTCTCCAGAATTAATCTAGAGCTCATTGCGGTTATTTCTCAGAGAGACTTGCAAAACAATTTAGCAAGACTCTTTTTGAATCTCTTTATTTTATTCATGTTTGTGTGATTGTAAAATATTGTGTGTTGTGATTGAATATATATTTGAAGTTACTTTATTGAAGCATTACTTTATTCCCTTGGTCCACAGACAACAGTGAAAAATATAAGTACAGTACTGTATTGTGATTTAAGAAATAATCATTCATTGGGATTCTGCTCACCAAAAGAATGAGCTTTGGCTGTTCAGTTATTTCGGGGGATATTATTTTTTTATTTATGGTCAAAATGTCTGCTTCTCGGTCGAATTCATGCATTTAAGCAAAAAAAATATTTTAAATTTCCAAAATTTAGAAAATACTGCATTACGTAATTTAGTTCACTAAGACCATTAATAGCCTCAATGTAGCTTTTTTGCTTGTGATTTCAGAAAATCACATCCATAGAATGCTTTCCTTTCATGAGACTGTCGCGTTCAAAGAGGATCAACATCCTTAGGACCCCGACATTATGCACTGGATCATTCCACGTACCACCTGGCAAGTACAGTACTTCATATACTGTACCTTTAGAGGTACGTATACACGAGTATATACCACTAGAGGAAATTATCTACATTCTACAAGAAACCATAGAGTAATAACCTGGGTTTCTAACGCGGCTGCAGTGACGAAAATGAAGTAGACGAAAGCGGCGAGGGTCGGCACTGGCAGATGAGCAATGATGTACGAGGTGACCAGGAAGATCACACTGGACGGCGCCGCAGCCACGTCCCAAGGCGCAGAGCCGACCAATGCCGCCGCCATCCCGGCTCCAACGACGACCACGAAGCTCTTAATGACGCTTATCGACAGTGTGGCTGCTGTCACGACAACCGCAGTCCTGTGAGTAACCATCACACACACACACACACACACACACACACACACACACACGAAGAAAACAAGAACCAAGAAAAATATGTTGTTAGAGAGGAATGAAAAAAGGAGCAGAGATGAGAGCTTGGGGTGGATCGACAAGGTTCATTAATCTCATGGCGGCGGGGGTTTTTCGGACCAGTGACCATCACACGGCTAGGACAAGAGTAAGAGAGTGTTTTCAAAAGTTATCAAACTTCGACCCCGGAATTACGAGCTATTCTTCAAAAAATTATTCAAATATTGTTTCTCGTATTCCTGGGACTTCCAAAATTTTTTTAAATCTCCTGAATCCAAATGCGTCACAAAAAGATATTGCCAAAATAAATCGGGCAGAAAATATTTCTCCCTTATTAATAAAGGAACAGAACGGCAATTTCTTGCAAAAAAGAAAAGCATGAGAATTATCTTGATACTTGGCCAAATGCATAATTACTCAACTTTTATCGTGCATGGGTTCCCTGTGTGATGAGTAAACAGCATATACAGCACAAAAGATACAAAGTTCAACAATATTCGTGTCATTGAGTAGACAAACCATCCCCTTGTAATGACATGAAAGACACATGAAGGACCCCCGATGCCATTTTGGAAAATCAACATCATGAGAGGAGCATATTGTGCAAGTTTTAAAACCTTAAGAAGCTGGACTGAATTTCACTGCGAATGAGCTGCTCCAAAAATTCTAAGCAAAATGTTTGCCGTTCTAGGGCTGGATTCACGGACTTGAGCGAAGAATAGAAAATTTTAAAAAACCTATTTAAAACAGCTCACATCTCGAGATTAATTTCGTCGTATTATTATTGCGTTTGAGATGAAACTTCTTTGAAAAAAAGAAACAGCCTTCTTAGGTTCCAATTTTTCAAAGATGTTTCCTTTTTTTCAAGATCGAGAAGTTTTTTAAAAACCTTTCGTAAGCATACGGGGTCGGTCTCTTAAAGGAGGATCCGAGACTCAAGCTTGCCCCTCCAGAGGACGGGGATTTGGAAGGATCCCGCTGCTTGCGGGTTTCGGCGAAAGCTACCCTTATTTTTCTTTCTTTGGTACACAGAAACAAGTGAGAATGCGCTTCGTCGAACGTATCACTGATTCCTTCGTCTCTATTAGGCTCCGGTGTAACAATATCCAGCCCTGTTCCTTCGACCTCGTTCTGTTCTTTCAATTAACGTCATGGTACTGGGGTGAGATTCCGAACGCTTGCAGGTTCTATTATTGTTTTTTTTTTACATGTGGTTCATGTCAACTCTAAAACAACAAGTACTGAATGTATTTAATGAATGAGCTTTAAGGCGAGATTTATGGAATCAAAGTGAATCCGGAAATTTTCACCATACCTTCTCTGCTGGGAGCATTTTCGGTGAATTTTTATCATTAAATTACTTCGCTTTTCAACTTATATTTAATCCAAGAATTCGTAGCTCTACAACGAAAGAATTCAGCTTCGGAAGCATTCAAAAAATCGCAGAAGCGTTCAGCCAAATTTCACAGCATTAAAAAAATTTTGAAACACTTCATTTTTTATTTCCAGGAAATAAAAATGAAGTGTTTCCTCATTTGTATTCATTTTTATTTCCTAGAAGTAAAATTCGAAAAATTTTCTTTTTGCAGATTTCCCGCGGAATAGGACTGAAAAGCTGAACGATGTTCCTGCCGGAATTTTGCTTTGTCATTTTGCAATTTTAGCGAATTAAACACTATGTAAAAATTTTGCAGAAATTCCACGGAACAAGACTTTAAAATACTGTACAGTAGAGTATAAGAATAATATTATTTAACTGGCTTGTGGGGAAGCATATGACTCCCTTAAGTAAGAAAGGAATATGTGGGAGACCAATGACTTTCAAGAAAGCGTGTGACAACCTTTTTCTCCGTATTTTTCCTCTTCTTTTGAATACAAAATCTGAAAGAGAACAGATCTGTCAACTAAATTTTCTTTACAGGGGATTTTCTAGAAGATGAATCTCATTTTCTTCACAAGAAATATCAAGTTCGTGTGGGTTAAGTTTTTCATTCATTCCCTAGAACAGAGATAATGGACTGCAGACTAAAACTCAGGATATAACCCCATTTTACCGCGTTATATTTTGAAGAATTTTACGCCTTGAAGGAGACATGGATAATTCTATGATTTTTAATCTGAGAAAAAAGTTATCTGCTTTTATGAGTACATTTTATGAGGTGAAAAAAGGGGTGTCCGAAAATGTGAGGAAACTTGGAAGATAAATCCAACAAATTTATAAATTTCCCAACCAGGTCCGTGCACGTGTTCAGATAAGGCAACGAGACAAGGGATGATGAATAGGAGCTCCCGTCACCACCGAAGCAAAGCAGAGCAGGCAAAAGAAGAAGACCTCGTCGTCGAGGTGCCTCGTATATATTCGCAAAGCCGGGACCATGGCTCATATCCCGTGTACATAAATATTCATACCTGTATACGTTTTTTTTTTTTTTTTACAGCGGAAGTATATGTACTCACTGGTGAATTTTCGCGTTGAAAGGTCGGAAGGAGGCGAGCTTCATCACGACCCCCGTGCCGATCCCGTGGGCCAGAAACGCCTCTTGCGCCACCATGATCCAGGCCTCTATCGTCGGAGTCGGGTCTCGTCTGTGCTCTATCGATAATGCGGACGACGAAGAGCCGAGACTCCAGTCAAGCATTGCCTGTTGTGCTGTGAGAGAGCTTCTTGCTGCTGCCAGAAATCCCGGCATCGACACCACTATTGGCTCAAACAAAAACAAACAAACAAAAACCATGTAATGACCCGTGATAGACAAGCGTTAAACAAGCCTCGAGCATTTCAGTGAGAATGTCTAGCGTCTAGCGCGAACAAGTTCAGCACTTTGAAATACCATGAATGCTGCAATAAACTATGGGTCTTTAATAAACACTGGGTCTCAAAAGGGGGATCAAAGGAACAGTACCTGATGGTCTCTGGCTAAAGAAAAGGGACACTATTATAATAGTGGCCTGGTTGAAGAATTCTGAGAATTTCGCTCATAATAATCCTATCCACAATCTAGCCTTAAACACTCAACAAAGGAACCATTTCCTTCAGCCTTTCTTTGTGCATTCCTGTTTCATTTCCAAAAATCAGTGGGGCGTCAAAATTTTGATCCTGTTTTCCCCTGCTGGTGCTGACCTTGTTTTTCTCTTCATATCATTCCACTGTTCAACTATTGGAAATAATTGCAGGTCTTTAATAGATATCACTCATTCCAATATATATTAAAGGATGAGGGAAATTGAATTTTTAACCATATTATAGGTCAGATGTAGTAAAAACAATTTACCCTTGCTTAGTGCCACAAAATGTTACAGGACAAATTATTGCACTAAATTGGGGTTTGGCTGTTTGACTGTATGTGCCACCATAAATTAGTACCACAAAATATGCCAGGACAAACTATGGCACTAAATCATGGGTGCTGCATCAAAGGAGAATTTAGTTTATGCCTAGGTAACAAAGATAATGCTTCAACTGGCTGGTATTAAATTTGATGGAAAATAACTACTTTAAGGACTATACAAGAGAGGATATGTAGAAATTAGGCAAATGCCAGTAAAGTTTTACTGTAATTGGGTCCCTGCACAACAGGACTTTGCTGTTCCTGGATACGTTATGTGGCGTCAGAAATTATTTTTCTCAAGCTTTTAATGCAAGAATAGTTAATTCGTTCGAGACACACGCAAATCATCCTTAATGAGCCCTGGAGTCACTGTGTTTTAAAAATTATGAAACTGTGAGTTTAAAAAGAAACAACTAATCTCTTTCTAAAAGTATTTCTCAGTATTTTTTATTTCAAACAATTGGATAGTTTCAAAAACGCAGAAGGTTTTCATTTTCCATCGAATCAATTTGAAATCCGTTGAGAAATATCAATTTTATCAAATGCGGTAGAAAAAGTAATTCTTGCTTTCAAAGCAAAAACCCCGATTCAAATGTGTAAGCTTTGCTTCTATTTTCTTCCGTGGACACAATTTACTTCAATGTTCACTCCCACACTAACTTCACCGGGAAATATACGACAGATTTTATTTTCAGGGGAATGAAGGTAGAACTTTGAATGCTGCGAAGAAGGAATGCGGAAATTCTGCGCATTTATTTATTCTCCGATGGTATGAAAGTTGAGAGCAGATGAAAGCTAGAGAGGTTGTTTGCTCCACGTCTCCGTCGACTTTTCTGAAAATAAAAAAATCCCTACTCGTGTTTCCATGGAGTAATGAAACGCCATGAACAGACCTTCGTTCTTTTTCTTTCTTTATTTTTAATCCTTCAGAAATGAAAGTGAGCTGTTCGGTCAATGTATGCGATAAGTCTTTGAAATGAAAGTTAATTTATGCATGACTGCATCATGAATTTATGGTCTCCGAAGCACTGCGTAAAATAGAAAAATATACAATTTTTTTCCGGAGGCGTGAAGATATTTCAGATTTAAATTTGAATCGGTTGAAGGCTTTAAAGAGTCAATTTGAATACTTCATCTATCTTTTGGATATTCCTGCGAATTAGTGCAAAAAATGCCGTTTTCCTGAAGTTCGTCCCAAACACACCAACATTGAACGTTTTAGCAGCAGATAAGAGTCCAGTATAAAAGTCGGGAGGGGGGGATTTCAAAATTAAATAATAGTTTAACATGTTAGCAGAAGAATCGGGGCTTTTTTCGCAAGTTCAGTACGTCATTCATCTTCCAAGGTCAGAATTTTATAATCTTCATACACGGGAAATCCTGGTAAAGTTGCCAAACGTCGGCTGCATAATTCGACATCCTCTGACAGCCACAAACTTGGCCATAACAATTTAGCAGCAGAGGCTCTTCGTACCATTCTGATAATTTTTGAATAATTTACCAGCGTTTCAAAATTTGCACCGAAGACTTTTTTTGAAATTCCAAAGAGTTCTGTCTTCTGTTCTTCATCATGGACGATTCCATGCATCCGAACCGGAGTTGTGAAACAGAAAAAAATGAAATAACTGAATTTCATAGATTCGAGCTTCATAGAATTTTAAATTATGTGAAAGGTTGTTCGGTAAAAAAAAAATTGCGCGCGTTTGTTGTGTATGTTCAATTTTCCAGACGCAAAATTAAGTGTCCAAATACTGTAGATGTAAAAATTGTAAGTGCAAATGCAGTTGTTCGCCATGGGGCGGCTCAAATAAATCCCTGTGAAAGCCTGAAATGAAAATCGAATTCTTTCAAAATTTAACATGGAGATCTGAGTCATTTGCGCATCAAATTACAAGATTTCAACGTGCTCGGGATGTCGAGTACAGGATGCGAAAATATAAGGTTTCGGTTGCGTCATTTGGACGCAGACAACTCACGCACTTCTGGAACACATAATCGTAACCATGCTATCCCATTCTGAATCTGTACAATTTTCTAAAAAATAATCCCTAACTGAAAGAATCATGGCCGTGCCAACACCCAAAATGGGTGCTTCGGGACGAGGCTCGCTGAAAGTGCGATAAGCCCACTCATTACAGTCACCAACTTCTCTGCGGAACGCCTGTGTGTTGTTGACATGAAACTTCTTTTTTTCTCTCTCCAACAAATCAGCTCATACAGGTTATGTCACTACTGTACAAACACTTGACTTGACACACTCACAGCGCAACAGGAGCATGAGGACGACCAGAAGTTGCACGACGCAGGTGAAGTACAAATACAACCCGCGGGCCGGCCAATGGAACGCGATGCGGATTCCAAATACGGCCCAGGCCAGAGCCGTAGCCAGAAAAACCGGAAGATGAATTTTCCCGGAAGTCTCCTGAGGGAATTCCGTGTCATTCCCTGGGTGCCCATCACGGATCCGATTCGACGCGTCTGAGTTCAAAATAGTTCGCCTGCTTTCGACGGATGAAACGTAACTAAGATGAACAGTGCTGCGAGTGCTGATCTATCCTCAGCCGGCTTTGCGGATTTAAAAAATAGAATAAAAATATATACATACTATACATGCATATACTGTACCTCGTAAATATTTGCGAGACAGATATTCTCCATCTACCGTAAAAGCGTGGAAAATTTGAAAAATCTCGTGTGACACATTCGCGAGCGAATCTGACATCGGAGAGGTTTCCTCGGTTATGATCAAGTGCTGTACAATAACGGAGTCCGATTAATGCGCAAAAAGTGATTTTTCACACTTTATTTTGTACTTCAGGGAGAAAAATAGAAATCTTTCAATAGGAAAAGCCTTTCATTTCGCAGTAATATCTTTAAAGCCTGCTGAAATATAATTCTGCGGTGGTGCCTCTTGATTCGCCTCTTGATACGCTTGTGGAAATTATTTCATTTTACAGTACACGGCTGTTATGCCTTGATTTATAGGCATACAAGTCGATGTCTAATATTTGCGGACTCCGTTTGATAATCTTGAATGGAATTTGAACATTTACAAATTCCCTGGAGCAGATGTGGAGCCCCCGAAAATTTCAGTTGAAGCTTTCGGTGCTCCATGCGGGCATTAAAGTTCAAAATACATTGTAATTTGGTTTTAAAATGTCATTTCTTTCCATTTAATAGTTCCTATGTCCTCAATTTGTCTGTCATGGATGATGGAGGATGGAATTTGTTAGTCATGAATCCCGCATTTAAACTTCCACGGAAGGTTGGTTGTATGAGAGATTGGGGTCTTACGTAATTTACTGGGACGTCAACATGCAACAGAATAATGTCTCACAGAGTGGCGTAAAAAATTTTAAGGTGTATTATTTAATTGCTCGAAATAAGTTTTGAAGGCGCGAAAGTGGAAATTCCACCTTTGAAGAAGAAAACGAAGCCAGATTCGGCATATAATAGAATAATTTGATTATTGGATGAACGAAGCTCAGAGCTTTGTTCTTGTCAGAAAAAAATGCTGTGTGTGTGTGTGTCAGGTACGCAGAGGTAAACAATATTAATGTTTCACGGTAATTTTTGGAAATTTCTTTTTTCGAACGGCGCGTAGAAATGATGCACCCTATTTTTAAGCTATTAAAAATGCTTATTTTTGGATGAACGAAGCACAGAAATTTGTTCCTGACCGTTGAAAATGTAGTGTGGAAAAATTTCGAAGGTTACCAACATTTATTTTTAATAACTGTTCTTGAATTTGTTCATGCGACGAACAAAATGAGGCAAGCATTCATTTTATAGACTAGCAGAATGAGAAAAGACGGGATTTATTGCGGAGCCCCTCGCGCGGAACGCAATAAAACGGCGGGTGATTCAATGCGCTATTCCCAGCCTTTTTTAGCGAAGAAAAATGAAGAATTCTTCCCAAGATGAGGAGAGTAAAAGTCGGAAGAAATATGCCTCAGCGTTCTTGCCCTTCTTTTCGGAGAATATTGCAACCACGTCTCGAGTTTGCCTCCGGAATTTGATCGCGCGGTCGATCGTCCGCTATTTATCTCGATGCAACCAGCTTCCAGCTTCAGAAGCGAATTGATTTTACTGCATAAAAATACCCTCCTTCCGGCGAAGGTTCTTTTCTCCTTCTTATTGCGAAAGAGACTCGACATTTGATTTTTTTTTACACACAAAAAAGGGCTCGAGCGGGGTTCTACAGAGATGATGAGCGAAGATTAAATCCCGCGCTGACTCTGAAAACTTCTGATCTTCACTTCTCGAAAATCCTCCAATTTTCGGTTTAGGTTATTTATAACAAAAGTTAATTAACGGCGAAGTTTGAAATTTCAAAGCTGTTGACAACAAAAGAGGGTGGCCCAGAAAATTGACTCACTTCAACAGAATAATTTGAATAAATGTAACAGAGATGTAAATGTGAAATTGAGTTTTAATGATTGTGCCATAAATTGTATGCTCACGACATTTACTGCGTGAACATAAATAAAAAATATTAAGAACACAAATAGAGGTAGACTATCTCTGAACAGAAATTCATGGGGCCAGTGAAAATTTTCATTACAGTATAGAGAGAATTTTGTTGCAGAGAACCCCTATAACCTGAGGAGAGAATCCTACTGGACCACCAAGAAAACTTGTTCTACAGAGAAAATCATTGCAGACAAGATCTTTGTAGAGAGAGTTCACCAGTACTGTGCTCTTCGCATCAAAAAAGTAACATTAAAAATTTTCCGACGAGGAGACGCAAGGTCTTGAAAACTGAAATATCGAAAAAACATTTTGAATAATGCTGAAGAGTTAGTTTGCTCAAAAATGCTTTCTTTTCCTACTTTACACTGATAATAATACATTTTATTCCATACACATGGTATGATTATCAGGGTAATCTCAATTACCGAATATGCACCGACAATGGTTGATACATCGGTGGGTTTCAACTCTGCCTAAGTTCGCACTTCTGAAAAATTTGACCGAAGGAAACTGAAACAGTTTCTCCTCGGATCAGACTCGAGTTTTCCAATTCAACTTCTTTCTACAACTTGAAAAGGGACTTTTATATTATATAATTAATCAAAGAAGAAAAATTATATTCCGTTCATATAAGTGATTAAATATAACCCTTCGAACCCAGGAGTGCTTTTTCAACAATTACTCGCTCTGAAATGGTGATGTTTAAAAATTATTCTGACATTTTTCTTGCGTTAGTCCCATTAGTTTAACAAACAGGAGATGAAGTTATTCCGTACTGGAATGGTCGCCTTAATAATAAAGGCTTAAATCCCAGATTACATTGGATGTCGAAGGCCGGCCAAATAAAAGCCCCAGATACGACAATATGTACATTTCCCTTCCCTTTTCTGTTCTCCCTCATCCTGACGCAAAATATCCGTGTAAACCTAAGGACAAACACTCACTGGAAGTAATCTTCAGCAGCCAAAACTCTGTCGCCGATGTGAGCAACAGGAACCAGACGACGAGTCGTCGTCACGTTTCCGCGAACTTCGACGCAGTATCCGGGGGTGTTGTTGAAGGCAAACTTGGCGTTTGCTGAACCGGACGCAGCGCAGAACTTTTCGTACGGGATACAAGTCCCATTGTAGAACGTAGACCCTGACCTTTTGCACGTCTCTTCGTTCCGAGAAGAAAAGCAATCTGCAAAGTGGCGCAAGAAAACGTGACCGATGACGAGGAAAATATTCTGAGACTACTGTATTTTTCGAAGCAGAAGGGCCGAATGCGAAATTTCGATTTCAAATGTAGCCCGCGGAGAAATGAACAGGATAATTGTTTTTATCTTTTGAAGACTCCAGGCAATTATCTGAACAAGAGCAGGTAATTAATTCTACCTCGTTTGCACTAATGATGACAGATATTCTGCTGTTTCTTTGATGAGATATGGATCATAAGCGACGGCGGTTTTCCACACAGATGAGAAAATTTGAGCAGTCGAGACTGGAATTTCTTAGTTAAATTTTAAGAGATGCGGTGTTTAAAGCAATTCATTTTAAAACAAATCATTGGAAAATTATGAGGTAAACCAGGTGTGCCCAACATACGGCCCTTGGAGGCTTTTCCTCTGGCCCGCGAAGCCAACATAGAAAATCGCCGCCCAAACGTGGCAATCCCCTAACATTGATATTGCTGGGAGTAAAATATTGCCAAGAACACCTTTTGGCACAGAAAGAGAAGAAAATTGTGATAAAATATGCCTTGCGTTAATTTAAATATTGTACATGCATAAGTACATTAAAGATATTGGGAAGGGGGGTTGCCTACAGAACAATTGTGAGAAAATAAAAGTACACTCACAAAGATGAATACAAAAAATGAGGATTGAATAAGAATTTTTGACAGTGGACTAAAGTTGATCTTATAAGTGATGAGAAAATGATTAAACACAGTTGAATAGCTGGGCTGTGGCTGGGACTTTTCACGTCCTAGTATAATGTTGATATACAGTATTCTTTAAATCTTTCGATTACACAGAAAATAGGTTTGTTAGGTTATCAAATGCAAAATTCAAGTTTTGATGTACACTTGGAAAACAACCTTTTTTTTCCTTCTAAAATATTGTTTCGATGTCGTTTTTACGATGAATTGTGATGCGCAGTCAAGAGCTAAATGCAAAAAAAACACCACGTCCTTACTTCTATCAAAAGTAGAAGAGAATGAAGTTTCATAACGATGGAAAGTTTCGAAAGCACGAGCATCGCTGTTTCACGGGGAAAATTCGACGCAGTAAAAACACATTCTCACTCACTGAAGGATCCTACTCTAGAATCACAATAATCCCATGGAAGTTCGTTGGTGAAGGACGACAGCAAGTACATGAGGTTCCAGGCCACGAACATGCCATTATCCAGGCTTGAAACCCAGGCAGCGATGCAGGACGTGAATCCCAGCCCTGTGTCGTAGATCATCGAAGCATTTATTCACCTCGCATGGCCAAGCAAAAGCAGGGCTTTCATCAGCACGACAAGCTCTATTGTGAGTACTGTACCTCGGAATAACGGCGATGCCGCTTTGAACACCCGCAAAGGACCCTTGCCGCAGTACTGACCGATTCCCATGTCCAGGTACAGGAAGGGTAATATGCACAGAAGCGTCACTGCCAAGTGCATGACCAATACTGGAACTGGAAACGAAAACAGCGATTTCCAAATATACACTACAGTACTGCTTCGGGATACGAGAATTCAGGAAGTACCAGGGTTGGTTCATAAGTTTTGAGACTTTTTGAAATACAGTGGCTCCAACAGAGTTTCAAAAATTCCAGAAGAAAAAAATTGGTACTTTCCTGTTATCTCAGTAACTCACTCCTAGACCGCACTACCATCCAGTCAAATCTTCAGGAAGAGTTCATAATCATGATGACCTACCAGAAACTGTGAATTTTATTTTTCTGCATTCTGCTGAAACTGATTTTGGGAGAGGTTATTTCAGGTTATGTTAGTTAAAAGATATTTGTAACTAGCATAACCTGACCTAACCTAACTTTACCTAACCGCCTCCCAAAATCAGTTGCAGCAGAAACCCAAAGAAAGCAGAAACTGATTTTGGGAGGCAGTTAGGTGAAGTTAGGTTNNNCAGCAGAAACCCAAAGAAAGCAGAAACTGATTTTGGGAGGCAGTTAGGTGAAGTTAGGTTTGGTCAGGTTAAATTGGTCAGAGGGAAGGTACAGAGATAACAGGAAAGTAGGTACTGAGATAACAGGAAAGAACTAAAAAATTACTAGCATGGCCCCATCATTTAGTAATGCATCAGCGCACTGTTTAACATACTCTCTGCCGATTTCACTGCACTTTTTCATGCAATAAATCAAACAATCAAAACAGCGTGCCAAAAATCCAGTTCTGTTTGTTGAATAGGCCCCCTGTGACTTATGGCTGTTCCCAGCAGTGAAGAAGAACCTGAAACGGATTGATTCTGAGGACAGGGACAGCCTTTAGTTCCGTCGTCAAAGAGCAGCTTAATCAACTAAAGGAAGTCGATTTTTGGCACTGTTTTGATGGCTGGATTTATCTCAGGAAGAAATACTGTACATTGACCTTGGCAGAGACTATTATGTTAAAAAGGACTCAAGTGTTGCCGAGTGATGAGGGGTTTTCGCGATTGATTTTTTTTTCTAATTTTCGGAGCTCCATTGCATCTATTTAAAAATGTCTCAAAAGTATGACCCAACCCTCGTACTTCCAGGTTTCGTGTCGACGTTCTTAGTTTCCGCGAAATACCGGTATAATGTTCGTTCAACACGAATTGGGTCACAGTTGGATGTTATGACCTGTCGTGGTTATTCCCAAACTCTATGTTACCCCAGGTTCTGCTCACTCCACATTGCGAAGCTTTACAGCATTTTTCAGCGACAAAATAAACACTGACGAAAGTACTCATGGAAAACTTCACACAACGTTAAATTCAATTTTTATCCAGCAAAATCCAAACTTCAAAGTTCTTTAGAAGTAGGCATTTACGTACACTGTATAAGAGTAACTAATTACCACTGTGCCCAGTCAAGTCTCTTGCATCAGAGTTTGATGAAAGGAACAGCGAAGATAAATGATATTAACGTCGTCTCATATTTTAAAGCCTAATAAGTTCAGATCGATCAACGAGCTCCGCCATGCATTAAATCAGCAGTGCCTTTTACCGATCATACAATAATTTAAAAAAGAAGGTAAACTAGCATGGTTGAGAGTACACGGAATTCGATTTGAGTATAGCCAAGATTAATGCAACTAACGTAACCTTAAACCAAACTAACCTAATCTGATGAACACGCAGCTGCGCCTCATGAATAACCAACCAGAATTCAACGCACTAAATAAATATTTACTGTACCTTGTACTGTATACATGTAGTACGTTTCCTGCTTTATGATTCAACGCATTTTCAAATTTTGACTACTGCTGCGTAATAACCGTCTGGATAACCATAAACGCAAGATGAACGTGTTTTTGTTGCTTAAATTCGCAAAAAAAAAAAACGTCGTACTTTCCCAAAAGATTCCATGAAACGGCTTTTACATAAGCCCTTCACGTTTTCGGCAGCGTTTTCAACGTTTCGAGGCTCTTTTAATTTAGCTCATGATATTGAACGGTTCCCGAATTCATTTGATTTTTTCCGCAAAATGGATGACTTTATTCGACGTCAAATACTAGACTATTAGAAAAATTGTAGAAAAAATTGTATTACTGTACTAAAATAAATAACAATTTTATAATAATTATTCCTCACTTGATGGTGTTTTTTCCTCCATTCCTAGCTTAGCATCAACATTGGAGATTTCTCAAGACAATGGGAGAGTTGCTATCTGGATTTTACCCAACTTAGACCTTCTCAACCCAAGGCATTTTAGTGACCTTTGGTCAAACTGAAATACACCCCTCTCTGGAAAAATCCCAACTCCACTGCTGCTGGATGTGAAGGAAACCCCGACTCGAGGGTTAACCCTTTGGCAGCAAAAGGTTATTTTCCATTGCCAGGCAAAGTCAAGATTTTTTCATATGCTGCTGCATTTATACTTTTCTAACGGGCCAAAAAGCTCAGCAATGTGGCCAGGTTAAAGTTTGCTTTTTTCCAAGGATAAGCAAGAAGTTTCATTATACAGTATTAAGTTGGACGACCTGTATTGACTTCTAAACAGGGATGCTCGTCTATCCAATTGAAAATTAAAGATACTTGAACACAGTATGAATTGGGGACACAACTCAAGCCAAGGGGTGAAAAAATCACTGCCTTGAGAATGCATGCATTTTTTTTCTTTCTTTCTCAGTAACATTTTTCTGGGCAATTGAAAAATAAAACACCTAGATTTTTCCAAACTTCGCCTTCAACACAAAGTTCCTACATTTTCTAATTCATCTCACACAGTCATAAAAATCTGCGAAAAATAAGTCCAACACCGCTGTCCAAGGCTTAACAGGGTTTGTCTGCATATGCTGGTACCTTTTTTCTTTTTGCCTATTCTTTGTAACCCAATACCTGCCATGGGCCCCATTTCGGACTTTTTGCTGCCCACTAAAAATAAAAACTGAGCAAAATATTTTAAAATGTGATTATTCTCTGCAATGAAGTTATCTAAAAGTAGACACCTCACTTGACCATTTTCTTATATTTTTCATGGTACAGAAACGCGTTTTCTAAATCAAATTCACAATACCTAAGAAAGTTGAAGCTCTGGTTTTATGAATGCAAGAAAGGTACCTTCTACTGCAGCTAAATTCAAAATTTAGTATTCCTTTAAACCTGCTGGATAGTTCTGAATGCATGGACATATTTTTTTCATTTTCTGATATTTTGATCGATCTTCATAACAGATCGAAAAAAAACCCTGATCTCCCAAATGGGGCTTATCACAGATCCCCATTCGGGGATGTGCATTTGAGCATGTGAACCCCATATATATTTTTTTTAATTTTCCTAAAATGTTTTCTTCTGTTTCGGTGTAAAACGAAGTGAAATCTAGCAGAAGTAGCTGCATAGTAAATTTGGCTGTTAACGGGTGAAGGGTAGAAGAATGTGAACCCCATATATTTTTCTTAATTTTCCTGAAATATTTTCATCTGCCTCGGTGTAGAATGAAGTGAAATCTAGCAGAAGTAGGTGCATGGTAAATTTGGCTGTTGGCGGGAGAAGGGTAGAAGAATGTGTGCTGCGCCTTTTCCTATTTCGATAAAATCCGGTATAGCAGCCCTGAAGGACGAACCTAGCCCGTACTCGTAAGCCAGCAGCGGAAATTTGGCGAGCGTGCTCCAGCCTAGGGTGAAGACCAAGAAGCGCGTGACGCTCTCAAGCAGGGCCCCCGTCGGTCTCGACGACGACGACGACTCCTCTCGACGCCGTTCTTCCCCTCTGACGCGCGCGACGGAAGACCTGCGATGCACACTGTCGTCGCGTTGCAGGGAAGAGTCGACACTGTCGTGATAGCTGCGACGCGAATCATCCATCTTCTCTCCAAGTCAAGAGAGACAGAGGGAGAGCAAGAGAGCTAGCACTGCTGGAAAAGTGCCTAGAAAAAAATAAAATTTGCTTCCTGCCTTCCGCTACGTCGCCCGCAATTATTCTAGCATGTCTCGACGCGAGCTTAATCAGGTGAACTTCAGGAAGATGTAGCATTTAAATTTTACAGGATGGAGGAAGAAAGCGGTAGCCGAGAAATAATAGGAATCGTTATTCCTGGAATTCTGCGTAAAAGTGTTCTGCGCTACTGAAACTTGGGTTGCCCAGCATTGAATATCGGTTCAAGAGAGATATGTGCTATTAGATTACAGTAATAATACTCTGAAACCTTTGACGACTGTTCTATCGTCAAAACAGGTAAAAAGCCAGCCAAGTTTATTACACAGTAGAACCCCCTATATGAGGACGTAATTGCTGGTGTTCCGACCTTGTCCCAGGATTTTCCGCATGTCAAATATTTTTTCCCCTAGGCTTTGATGCAATCACATATAATTGGTTTTCTGCTTATCAAAAATTTGGAATAAGTCCACCATAGTTTTAAAAAACGTGTTCCCTCAACTGCTAGATACTGAAAACAGCTGTGCAGAAGAAAACCCTACGAAACCTCATATTTTGGCATCAAAAGGAACTCAAAACGCGAAGAACGTGTATAAGTCTTGTATATGTACACAGATGAAAGAAAAAAACTCTGAGATAGGAAGCACAAAATCAGCCTTTTTTATAATGAATCAGAGTAAATTTATAATGAAATTTGGTTTTCATACTTTGTGAATCGAAATAGCTCCAGTTTTTTAAGATAGATATCAAAATTATAAAATAAAATTTATTAACGTTTCTGGAAACTGTTGGTGAAGACTGAAGTGTCCCTACTCCCTACCTCAAGCCATTGTCTGGATGTCAGCCTTGTCAGGGCAGATTTTCCCAAGTTTCAAACGTCCGTAAGTTGAATTGTCTGTATGTCGTTGTCCGCATGTTGAGGTTTCACTCCAGTAGTACTGTACCTGTATTTCGCATCAAGCCAGCATTGAAGAATCTCCAGAGATTTTCTTTGAATGAAATTCCGACTTGAGTGACTGTGTGGAGCTCGATCCTAGTATGAGCTTTTACGTTAACATCATCTCATGTAGATGTCGCTTGTTACAATCGAATTATCCCGCAGACGAGTTCACGAAAATATGAAACAATGCATATAATGTGCCACAGACTGACAAACTCGCAGAAGAGGGCAATTGAATGTCAAAAGACAAAGCATTTCAAATTATCAAGGGCTACTTTAGTTTTTGCACTAATTTATGCGAGAGGAAACCATGCTATGCCTATCCTATGGGTTTGTGGTCACTTATTATGATGATAATTGTGACTTTCAAAGAAACCAGCAGTTGATGCAAAGGAATAGAAGGATCAAGCGGCATTTTCTCTTCGTGAATAATTCGAAGACTGCTGCTTTACTTTCAGTGGGATGAACTATTGATTGGACAGTACTAGTTCACCTTCCATTTGTAATGATACTGCGTACAGCATTGCACCGCCTGCAAAAAAAATTTTGATTATTGATGCACTGCTTGTATACACATTTCATTTTACGGTAAAGACACTCAAAAGTCTGAAGTGAAGTCTAAACTCCCTTGTAGTCCTTGATGAATGTTATTTTCAATTTGACTTAGGGTTCTGCCTTTGGTGAAGCTAGAGCCGTTTCTTAGAAGTTTTATTCTGCTGTAGATGAATGATCCCATGATGTGCAGAAGATTGCATGGGTGGACAGATTCCTGACAAAATCCACAAAAGATTGCTAAATTTAGCATGACCGTAGCGAGGGTAAAGTTCCTCAGCGAATCGATACGTATAGTTAATTTCGACTGAAGCAGTGCTGAGAAAATAGAACAGCACATGATGCAATAATCCTACAAGCGACACAAATTCGATTTCTGTCTAAAATTTTATCCGAAATGTTAGTAGAGGAAACATCAAAGCCGCTTGTGAAGAGTATACAAACAAGCGAGAAATAATGAGTTTTGCAAAGTTCTCCAGCTATAACTTGATTGTTTAGAATTTCTCGTCAGCTCTATCATTATATGACGATGAAGGCAATCGAGAATTTATACAGAACATTGAAAACTTGAAACTCTTCCCAGCCAAGCATTCGGTTCAACTTGGAAGGAAGTGTCACCGAAGTCCTGCCGTCATTCAAGTGCAGGCTTGAAGCCATAATTTTGCAGTTATGAGTTCTCTTTAGGAATAATTCGATTTGAGATAGTTATTGGCGTGCTCAAAACTGACATTCATCTTTAAAACGCAGCTTTTGATTCGACCATCACGAACAAATTCGTAAAATCTTACAGGATATTCTAGCTGTTTTTGCTGTATTATATTTTATGTGAGTTCACCCAAGTTTTCTGCACAGCATAATTTTGATTATCTCATCTGGAGATTCAGTAATGATGACGTTTTTGGAATTATAATTTTTTTTTGTCAAAAAAAATGTGTAAAAGAATTGAATTCAGTTTTTGAATTCATCCTCTGAAATTGTAGATGAAACGATACAAGAACGGGGAAATTTTTGGCATCAACCGCTATAAAAGCTATCTTTGAAAGGCGAAATTGTTCCTTCTGAGTCGTGGAATTTTTTTATATTGTACTTTATTTCCTCGAAACAGCAGTTTTATTCTGATGCTTCCACGAGGAATGGGGGGAAAATCCCACCATGATGCAGATCATGGAAATGCAAAAACATTTTTACTTTTTCTAAGCCCAATGTTGCCTCTTTTCTCTCGCATTGCTTCTTCTTCCCTATAGGCATAGGTTTCAGAATTTCATCTACATATAATTGACAAAAACACCTGCACGCGTTTCTTGAGTGTGATCAAAAGCCTGCATTTTCCGCCTTTCTTGCTTTTATTTTCTTGTACCCTCGGTTTTGAACCTCTGGAAATCATTTTCACATAAAACCGAGGTAACATCAAGCCGCAATGTGCAAGATTCATGTTGCTTGGGTACGTTACTGTACCTGTATCGTATTCGAGTGATTTACCGCGTGAAGTAAGCGATGCAAGGGTGACTCAATCAAATATGATTGACCACGTTCTAGAGAGAATTTCTTTGTAGAGAACCCATAAAACCTGGGGCGAGAGAACCATTTGGGTTCGCAAGAAATTCATTCTACAGAGAAAATCGTTATTAGACAAGATCGTTCGATATAGACTAAGAGTTTCTTGTACAAAAAGATGCTTTTACGTCGTCCAAAGCCGATAAGCAAATCATTCGTTATGAAGCAGCAGGGAAAAGTAGTCGACAGCGAGCCAGCAGTCTTTAAATTTTTGCGAATTTCGAAAATTTCACTTTTTTTTTAAAATTTCGTACTCCATTCGAAGGTCTTCCAGGGTGGAACAGGTGGTGGTCCGAGTCCAGCTCCTTTATCGCCTAATGAAGAAGGGCTTTTTCTTGAAAAGCGGGGGGGGGGGGGAAAATTTCGTACTCCATTCGAAGGTCTTCCAGGGTGGAACAGGTGGTGGTCCGAGTCCAGCTCCTTTATCGCCTAATGAAGAAGGGCTTTTTCTTGAAAAGCGGGGGGGGGGGGCGTTTCGAGACTATCAGTATTAGCGGTCTGCCGTTTCCCCACGGGCAATTACATTCGTCCGGTCCGTTGTAACCAGAAGCAGTCGTGACCGTGAGCAGCAACGGCCGGTGGGCACTCTGATGAAGATGCCATCGGTTCGGCTTTCCGGCTGGGTGGGAATTCAGGGAGCCTCATTCGGTGGGCGCTGGAGTCTACGACGCATCACGTTCGCAGGGCGTCGAGGATGCGATACCGACCATTCCTTTCAGCAATGCTCTTTTCTTTTTGAAGCGAGCAAAATAAATGCTGCGAACGGCTCCTGATGACCATGACCATCGGCTGAAATAAAAGGGATTATGATGAACGAAATGAAACGAGGCATAATGGTCAATAGCTGTTGTTTTTTTTCAAGAGTTGAAATTTCAGGATAAAGGGCCAACCGAAGCGCCAAAATAGCAATGCTGAAAATAGGTGGACTTCATCTACAAGGACCTGAAATTCCTTTCAGCGATAATTTTGCGGTAGGGATCCATTTATGATGATGGATTTATACAGTTGATCTCTTTTTGTTTTTGAAGGAAATACAATTTCAAGATAAAGAGCCAATTATGGTCCCACAGGTGCGGACCATGAACACCTTTTTTCTTTTAAGGATTGCATCGAAGAATGCAGCCCCATTCTTTCGGGAATACAATTTCAAGAACAAAATCCTCAGTTGGGTGCTTCCTACATACAGTACTTTTTCCATGCGTTTGAATATTTATATGGGAACTGAACCCGGTGTCACGCTATTAAATACTGTGCAGCATATCTGCATGTATCGATATCAGCCAAGGATATACCATCTGTCATCAGTTCATCACGAATGTAACGAGGATAAAAAGCAGAAAACCGAGGTTTATCTTGTAAGGAACATTGCTTAAGCTTGGCACATGGCTTGCAATTTCGTCTATCCAAGTGGAAACTTGTGTACTAAGAAGTCCAATATCAAAACTCAGAGGGATCTCAGAAAAATTTGACTTGGGAAGTTGGAGAAACCTATTTTTCTGCCAGGAGATGATGAATAATTGCTGGAATTTAAAATTTGTGATTTTCTAGACCCTTCAGCTGCAAGGTGATTGAGCTGAAAACATGCTGACCTTGGTGGCAAGGGTACATTTTTCCCAATTAGTCTCTCACTTCTTCTAATAAGCATCAAGTTCCATTAACTGCTCTACTCCTTCCTGTGTCCCAAGAATAATAGCCCAAAGGAATCTCAAAATTCCAGTTATCAAAGTTTGTGAGGGAAAGTATTTGAGGTATGTAGATCTACTTGTATATAAGAATATAACATGGTTATATATATCTATACACTGTATATATATATAGTATTGTACAGTGTATATGATTTAGCAAGATCCAAAAATTAGAAGATAGAGTTCTCAAGGTTCATGTAGAATCAATGTTAGCTTCCAATTATGTTACTACTAAGACATACGCCCAGAAAAAAATTTACTGTAATGTGTGTAATCTAATTTTGTTCGGAAATCTTTTTATAGCCAGTTGACACCTTGGTACAGCTACTTATCTATTGATCGAGATGTACTGCACTGTAAATTAATAAAGTACCTTATTGCAAATTAATTTGTGACTGTCAGGCACTCAGGTGGCATTTTTTATCATGTGAAGATTGTCAACTGAGGCAAACTGATCCGTTTATCAACAATCAGGAAGTTATTCTGAAGTGTGAAAGAATTGCCATAACTAACCCTGGTGCGTTTCTATGTTGTTTATAGCAGTCTTTATACTGTACAGCAATCTTG